AGTATGTCTCCTAGTGACTACTTCATGGTGATCTCTAAGTGTAGTTTTAAATGGAACAGAATCAGCAAGACATCCTATTGGGGAAAGTTTTCCCACAAGGAAGGTGCGGGGGGCCTTGTTATGGAATGTTATTCAACGACCTTCTTTATCTCATCCCCGAATACTTGCATATGCAGACGACTGTTACCCTGACATTCATTATCCAAGAGAAGAAATGAAGCTGCTCTAAGCTACATCAATCACCAGCTAAGAGCTTTCAGCTTGGGGAAAAAAATGGCAAGTACATTTGCACCTGAGAAAAAAGCAAAGTGATGTTTTCTAGGGACCCCGATGGTTGCTGGTGCAGTTGAAGGTGAATGGGAGGGGGTTGGACCTGGAGAAAAAGGTTGAATTTGGGGGGGGAAAATTTGACTCCAAAAAAAACCATGAAGAAACTGTTGTAAATCTTTAAACAAGGGAGCCAGGAAGCTTACGCACTTCGCCGTACTCGCTTCTGCTTGAAAGAAGGGGGGTTTCAAAATTTGTTCGAGGGGACAAGACGTACCCTTGAGTTGCTCCATTTTTTTGGTTTTTCCTGCCCCCCCCCTATCTGCAATTTCTTGCAGAATAGAGAACAGAGAAAAAAATTTCATCTCTGCCTGGACCCCTCCTGGATAGATCTGTCATTTCGCAGAGCTTTCAACTAGGGGGTGGGGTGGCCCTTAAAGTTATGTACAAAGGGCCAAAATTGTCAAAGACCCCATTGGACCCCTTCGAGGCAGCGTGAAACAAAAATTTTTGCCACAGACGGGCAGAAAGCGCAACTTCACTCTGGCTGCACCTTCCCAGAACATACTCCTCTGAGTCATATTACCCGGATACTCGTGTATGGAACAATTTGTACAGTAATGTCAAAGAGATAAAATCAGTTGATCAAATGAAATGCTGGCCCCAGATGGCTCCCAAATTCATCCTTTCCCTACTTTTATGTTCATAACAATAAAAAAGCTTTTTAAATGGTGATGTATTTAAAAGTCTTGCATGCCCAAAAAAGTTGGAATCCCTTTAACCTGTAAATGCTTGTCAATAAAGCTAGGGATCCTTAAACCTTTTTCAAACCCGTGTAAAAAAAAAAAAAAAAAAAAGGAAAAGAAAAAGGAAAGAGAAAAGAGAGAGAGAAGAGAGAAAAGAGAGGGGAGAGAGAGAGAGAGAGAGGAGAAAGAGAAAGAAAAAAGAGAAAGAGAAGAGAGAGAAAGAGAAAGAGAGAGAGGAAGAGAGAGAGAGAGAGAGAGAAAGAGGAGAGGAGAGAAAGAGGAGAGAGAGAGAGAAAAGAGAGAAGAGAGAGAGAGAGAAAGAGAGAGATGAGAGAGAGAGAGAGAGAAAGAAGGAGAGAGGAAGAGAAAGAGAGAGAGAGAAGAGAGAGAGAAAAGAGAAAGAGAGAGAGAAAGAGAGAGAGAGAGAGAGAGAAAGAGAGAGAGAGAAGGAGAAGAGAGAAGAGAGAGAGAGAAAGAGAGAGAGAGAGAAAGAGAGAGAGAGAAAGAGAGAAAGAGGAAAGAGAAGAGAAAGAGAAAGAGAGAGAGAGAGAGAAGAGAGAAGAGAAAGAGAGAGAGAAGAGGAGAAAGAGAGAAGAGAGAGAGAAAGAGAGAGAAAGAGAAAAGAAGAGAGAAGAGAGACGAGAGAGAAGAGAGAGAAAGAGAGAGAAAGAAGAGAGAAAGAGAGAGAAAGATGAAGAGAGGAAAGAGAGAAAGAGAGAGAAGAGAGAGAAAGAGAGAGAAAGAGAGAGAGAAGAAAGAAAAGAAAAGAAGAGAAAAAGAAAAAGAGGAGAGAGAAGAGAAAGAAGAGAGAAAGAGAGAGAAAGAGAAAGAGAGAGAAAGAGAGAGAAGAGAAGGAGAGAGAAAGAGAGAGAAGAGAGAGAAAGAGAAAGAAGAGGAAGAGAGAGAGAGAGAGAGAAAGAGAGAGAGAGAAAGAGAAAGAAAGAGAGAGAAAGAGAAAGAGAGAGAGAGAAAAGAGAGAGAGAGAGAGAGAGAGAATACAGTACACCATTAACTCTTTCACTGTCGTAATATTACGACTTGCAAGCCAATATTGATGCCGTAATATTATGCTAAAATTCTACCAGCTTCCAGAGAATGGGTCTGAGTGGTCAGTGTGTGCAGTATAAAAAAAATCCTGCAGCACACAGTGCATGAGTAAAAAAAAAAAAAAAAAAGAAAAACTGTGCTTTTTGTTTAAAACACCAACTTCTTGGTGTATTTTTGTATGGTATTTATGGCTGTATTCTTGTTTTCTTGGTCTCATTTGACAGAATGGAAGATATATTAAGGAAATAGAGATATTTTGAATGGTTTTCAGACTACGTAAAAGTACTTTGAAATTAAGCTCTTTCCAAGTAGTGGAAAGGTTCGATTTTTGCTGGTGGGTCTAATACGCTTTCACAAATGCGCTGATATTACATATACCATTTTTACAATAATGCAGTAGTCTGCATAACAGTAAATCTTCTATTTTTCGTGTGAATAAAAATTCAAAATGGAAAGCAAGCGTAATATAAAGAGGGGCCTGGAGACGTGAGTAATGTTATTTTAGTGCTAGGAATGTCTGCATTGTTTATTCTGGCCTCTATTTTGAAATTGGCCTTACTTGAATTGTGTATGAAATTGGCCAATTTAAAAATTTTTGATCACTTTACTGGGTAGCTGAAATCAGTAAATGGGCAGTTTCTTGTACTCAGTTGATAGAACAAATGGAGTTCTAGCAAAATAGCTACAAGTTTGGTAGACTGGAACAATGGCTCAAAGTGGGCAAAATCGGCATTGCGTATATATCATTGAGACCGCTAACTTTGCGAAACCGTAATTCCGTAAGTTTTCCATCAAATTTCGTACTTTTGGTGTCATTACCATCGGGAAAAGATTCTCTATCATTTCATAAGAAAAAATCATTTTATTTTATTTAAATTCTTCAACACTGAGAGCAAGTTTGTGAGCAGGGGTCTCAAAAGTGAAAGGGTTAAACAGTTCTGCAGTTAAGTGTAGTCAAAGAAGAATAAGAATTTAAAAGTAAGACAGTACATGACAATCATGGGTGTTCATGTTGAAAATACTCATGATAAGCATTATCATGGGGAATATGTAAATTAAAAAAAAAAAAAATGCAAACATATAAAACATTACTAATAACCCATTACCTTGTATTTTCTAGTTGCTAATTGTGCCAATCCTGCAGCACACGTTAATTTGGTTTGGATTACAGCTGACTGGTCTTTGTTATTGCTCGGCTGAAAAAGAAAAAAAAAAGTGTATCAGAGGAATGATGTCTGCTCTTCTGGAAAGACAAAATGCGTAATCTTGTATTGATGGAAAATGAATAATGATTTTTTTTTATTTTTTTCAAGACATGTAAGGGAACCGGGAGAAAACAACAACAGGCCAAGTGAAGAAGTGTGAGATAAAATAATAAAAATGTGAGAAGAAAAACAAAGTAGACCAAAATCTGTTATCAGACCATTATTATACAGGTCTCCCTCAACATTTGCGTTTTCCACTTTTGCGGGTTTCGAACATTCACGAATTCCCAGCCGCCCAATCATATTTAAAATATGTCATTACATATGTTAGGAATTGTGGCGGTGGCAGAGTTTGTTTGTTTGGAGATAGAACAAGATAGTCCTTCAATATGACACTAATATAAATTCTATGGCTTATTTATCTATCATAATTCATCTAATATGACATAAACAATATTAATAACAACACGACGTATACCCTAGAATGAATAAAATACATCAATAAATGTGTCATGAGTGTTGCTGTGTTGTTGTTGTTGTTGTTGTGTGTATAAGGGCCACTGAGAGCATAAGCCGTACATAGTGGTGGTGAAGGCGGCAGCAGAGACGGTGTTGTTGTCAGTCACCCTACATAACTCCAACAACATTGGAGGAGTTAGGTTCGTGCTGTCCTTTTTCTATCGATTAATCGTTTAATTTACTTGCTACACTGTTAATGCTACATTTTATAGCTGGCTGGCGCTATAGCCTTTATCGACTTGTGCTGCTTTATTATCATACATATCACAGAATCACTGAAGAAAGGCTGGCACTAGTACAATATTTTACAATGTTTTCATGTGTTTTATGCTTGTTAGGCTAAGTAAATGCTATTATATTTGTGCACCAAACATTTGCGATTTTTCAACATTCCCAACGTTCTCGATCCTCTAACCCTGGTGAATGTGGAGGGAGACCTGTACTGAGAGAGAGAGGGAGACAGAGAGAGAGACAGTGGTGGTGTATTTCCTTTTTAAATTGCTTTACCAAGAAAGGGCTGTGGGCCCAGACAAGTTGAGCCCAAGATTGCTGAGATGTGCAGACCAGCTAGCAGCACCTCTAACTTGCATCTTTCAGCACTGCCTAGTACAGTGTAAATGGCCTTCTCTGTGAAAAGAGGCAAATGTAGTCCCTGTTCACAAAAAGAAGAGCAGAGCAGAAATCAACAACTACAGACCAGTGTCAGTGCTGTCAATCACTGGCAAGATCCTTGAGACAATAATCTGAAGACAAATGACAAGAGTTTTTTTGACTACCACTCACTACTTTGTGATGTCAATATGGCTTCAGGAAAGGTTACTCTGCTGCTGATCTGTTGTTAAACCTCTCCACTAAGTGGCACCAGTCATTGGATGAATCCAAAGTCAGCTGTGTGGTAGCACTGGACATTGCTGGTGCTTTCGACCGAGTGTGGCACCAGGGCCTCTTAGCAAAACTGCAAGCTCTGGGAATTGCAGGCTCTACGCTATCTCCCCTCAGTGATTACTGTCATGGTAGATCTCTAAGGGTAGTTCTCAATGGAACAGAACCAGCATGACATCCTATTGGGGCAAGTGTTCCACAAGGAAGCGTGCTGGGACCATTGTTAGGTAATGTCTACTTCAATGACCATCATCTAATCCCAGAATCCCATGCATATGCAGATGACTGTACACTGACATTCACTTATCCAAGAGAAGAAATGCCAGTTGCTCTAAGCTACATCAATCACCAGCTGAGAGCTATATCAGCTTAGGGAAATAATGGCAAATAACATTTGCATCTGAGAAAACACAAATGATGATGGTCTCCAAGCACCATGATGGTAATGCTGGTGCAGTAGTAAGGATGAATAGGAGGGTGTTGGCACCTGGGGGAAGAAGCTGATATCCTTGGGGTGAAATTTGACTCCAAATTGACCATGAAGTACCACGTTATATATCTTGCAAACAAGGCAGTCTGGAAGCTTACAGCACTTTGCTGTATCTTGCATCTGCTTGACAGTAGGGGTTGCAAGATTCTGTAAGAGGCACAAGTGCACTCCCACCTTAAGTATGCTCCACTTTCTTGGTTTGCCTGCCCCCCCTCTCATCTGCAACTGCTTGATAGAGTAGAGAACAGAGCAAGACATCTCATCTCTCGCCTGGACCCATCCTGGATAGATCTGTCATTTCAGCAGAGCCTTCAACATAGGAGGGATGTGGGTGGCCTTACTGTTATGTACAAGGCCAATATTGTCAAAGTACGACACTTGGATCCACTTCGAGGACAGCGTGAAACAAGCTTTTATGCCACAAGACGGGCAGAAAGCAGCAATTTCACTCTGGTTGTACCCTTCTCCAGAACATCACTCCATCTGAGATCATATATACCCAGGATGACTTGAGTATGGAACACATTCGTACAGCATAATGATGTCAACGAGATAAAGTCAGTTGATCAAATGAAAATGCTGGCCCACAGATGGCACCAATTTCATCCTGTTCCCTACTTGTACGTCTCATAACAATAAAAATGCTTTCAAATGAGCTGATGTAGGTAACAGCTCTTAGCTTGCCAATAAAGTTAGGAATCCTTAACCTGTAAATAGCTTGTCAATAAAGCTAGGGATCCTTAACCTTATCAAATCCTGTGTAAAAAAAGAGAGAGACAGAGAGACAGAGAGAGACAGAGAGACAGAGACAGAGAGAGACAGACAGAGAGACAGAGAGAGACAGAGAGAGAGACAGAGAGAGAGAGAGAGACAGACAGACAGACAGACAGAGAGAGACAGAGAGACAAACAAAGAACTTAATTCGTTCCAGAAGGCTGTTTGAGTGCCGATACTAAACGAATTTGCTCCCATAAGGAACAATGTAAATTAGATTAATCCATTTCAGACCCCCAGAAATACACTTACAAAAATACATTGCCATAAGTGTTCGAGTTGGGAGCTGTTCGTATGCTGAGGTACCACTGTATATGGAAAGTAAAGGAGGTCAATCTTAGACACACACTGGGAGAGTTTGGGCCTATGTTGTGGCCCAGAGATGAGGAGAAAGTTGCTTGACTGTATGGTGCAGAACCTCTTTAAAGTACCATGTTAAAGAACCAATATGTATGGCTAAATCATATTTTTTCCTTAAGATATTTATTTACTAAGGAAATGTTTCACCACAGATGGGGCAGGAGTTATATTTTAATCATTCTGTCTGTGGATAGGACAAGCAAAATAATGCCCAATTATAACATAGAACAGCTGACACACATTGTAAAATTCATTAAAGTCAAACTAATACTGCAGTTCCTAAAAAAGATTTGCACAGGTGCAAGTGCTTGGAAGCATCAATGATAATTACCAGAAGTCATAGGGCTATAGAATACCCAGAACCCTGGCCTGTAACACTGCACCAAGAAGCACCGTCGGAGGTCTACTTGCTTCACTCGTGTATTTAAAAATAATCAAATATGTTACCCCACTTTTAGACTGTGTTCACCTAATCTCTTGCACTATATTTTCCAATTATTAATAACTTGAGAACTGTGTAGTATAATACCAAACATGTAGTTTACAACTATATTGCAATAAACAGAAAATACAGTGGACCCTCGACCAATGATGGCATCGTACAACGTTAAATCCAACTAGCGATACATTTTAACGCAAAAATTTTGCCTCGACTAGCACTAAAAAACTCGACCAACGTGATTCATTCCGTTCGAAACGCGTCCACGTGTGGCCTGCACAGTGTTTACAAGCCAGCCACTGCGGTCGCATCCAAACATGCAATAGGAACATTTCATATTATCACAGCGTTTTTAGTGATTGCACCTGCAAAATAAGTCACCATGGGCCCCAAGAAAGCTTCTAGTGCCATCCCTGTGATAAAAAGGGTGAGAATTAGTATGGAAATTAAGAAAGATTTTGAAGGGTTTGGGGCTAATCCTGAGATGCCTATGCCAGTTGTGGAATCCATTGTGCCTACTTCAAAGATTAAGGAAATGTGTGCAAAGTGGGTTGAACTGCAAACCTTTATGGATGAAAATCACCCTAACACAGCTATTGCAAGCCGTGCTGGTGACTATTACAATGACAATGTTGTGGCCCATTTTAGACAAATCGTAAAGGAACGGGAGGTACAGAGCTCTATGGACAGATATGTTGTGCGACAAAGGTCCTGTGACTCTCAAGCTGGTCCTAATGGCATTAAAAGAAGAAGGGAAGTAACCCCGGAAAAGGACTTGACACCTCAAGTCCTAATGGAAGGGGATTCCCCTTCTAAACACTAACACCATCCACACTCTTCCCTCCTCCCATCCCATCAATCACCACCAGATCTTCAATAAAGGTAAGTGTCATGTAATAGTACAAGTCTTCTTCAGTTTGTGTGTATTAAAATTAATATTTCATGTGGTAAAAATTTTGTTTTTCAATACTTTGGGGTGTCAGGAATGGATTAATTTGATTTCCATTATTTCTTATGAGGAAAATTAACTCGATTAACGATAATTTCGACTAACGATGAGCTCTCAGGAACGGATTAATATCGTTGGTCGAGGGTCCACTGTAAAGGATTTAAAAGTACAATTTATTTGGTGGATTTTGCCCATTATTTTAAGTGTTATACAAGGGGTTTACTGTACATGACTGACCTCATCAGCCATCTCCCACCAAGGGAGATGGCTGATGAGGTCAGTCATGTACAGTAAACCCAGTCATGATCCTACCTTGGTGGGAGATGGCATTAACCATCATTCATTCAATTCTTGTCTTGCCTCCACAGAAGACTGAGGAGGGACTTAAGTGGTTTCAACAGGTTGAAAGGATGGAGGGATAAGTTGACTAAGATGGTATATAAACCTGGGGTGGAAGGAAGGATAGGCTGGAGTCCTCCCAACAACAGCTTAAGGAAGGGGGGTAAAAGAGGCTTCAAATTTTAAGGGATTAAACATACAGCAGACTTGTGTAAACAAGTTAGAGGTGTGAATGGAGAATGTGGTTTTTAAATGGATGGTGTTGAAGTGTAAGCAAAATAACTTATAAAGGGATTCAGGAGAAACCAGTTATCCAGACTGGAGTCCTGGAGGTGGAAAGGGCAGTATCTGCACAGTGAAAGAGATGGGGATGTTAAAGTCGGAGGGCTATCTGACTGTGATATCAGCGTACTTCTGGAAAGACAGCAACTGAATAAATGATAATGTTTTTTTTTTCTTTGGGTCACCCTGCCTGGCATATATATCCTCTTATTTAACAGGTGCTTGTCGTAGTTCTTATTTATTGTAAACGAGCCTCGGTGGGAGATGGCCGACTTGTTGGAAAAAAAAAAATTATAATGATAAAGTGCCAAATCAGCTGGGTTGTGATGGGTATGTAGCCTTGGGCTGGGCTGCAATGGCAGAAGAGCTCTCAACACTGGGCACAGGTAAATATAGGTAAAACTTCATCCCAAACATCTCTGTGGCACACGTAAAATCCTTTTAATATGGATTACCTAATGAATATCACAAAGGAAAACTTACCCTTGATTCTGAAACTTCTGGAGTTGCTTGAGCTTTGCTTACATAGCTCAGGACATGTGACCAGTTGTTTAGGTAAATGGAAACCTGCAACATGAAAATAATTATAAGTTATACTACAATATGCAGACATATTCCTCTCCCTTCCTTATAGTAATTCTTCAAAGTTTAGAAAAAAAAATAGAATAGTATTTCCTGATCATAATTACCTTCAGTGCTAACTGATGAAAATCATCATAATGTATAGTGGAGTAAGCTCTATTAAAACTTGCATTATCAAACAATATTGACACTCTTTGCACAGAAAAGTGACTGCTTGTATATAGTTTAAAATTAAGTAGAAATTAGACACTATTCTTTCCAAATACACTCACCATTTGACTTATGACCTGCAAAACGTATGACCACTCGACTTATGACTGTGCATCTGGCAGCAAGGCTGCCAGACGCACAGTCATATGCAGCAGTATAACGTGATCCTTTATTGATAACATTTCACCCACACAAGTAGAGGTAGTAGTAGTAGTAGTTATACATGTGGTGGAAAAGTCAGCTGGTACATGAGAAAGGTTACAAAAGTTTTGGCTTGGGTAGCATACAAAATAGGTTGGACAAATGTATATAGATGAATGGATTTGAGAAGGCATGCCCAGTTTGGGCCAACAGGCCTGCTGCAGTGTTCCTCCTTTCTTATGTTTGTATGTAATAGAGAAGAAACACTGAAACATGCCTTCTCAAATCCATCCATATACATTTGCCCAACCTATTTTTTATGCTTTTGTAACCTTTCTTTCTCATGTACCAGCTGCAAATGTTTTATGGCTTGGGTAGCATAAAAAATAGGTTGGGCAAATGTATATGGATGGATGGATTAGAGAAGGCATGCCCAGTTTGGGTCAACAGGCCTGCTGCAGTGCTCCTCCTTTCTTATGTAATAGAGAAGGGACACTAAAACATGCTTTACAAGATTAAGATTTAATTTTTGAAGTATCCCTATCGGCAATTTTCTAAGGTTTGACTTAAGTCCATTTTGACTTGCAACTGGTCAGTTGGAAGCAAGCTCGGTCGTAAATCGGATGGTACCTGTACACTGCCTCGTAACTATACAGTGGAACCTCGGTTTTCGAATATCCTAGTCTGTATGTAAAACTATAGTTATTCTATATAAAATGCATTTTCTTGTTAATATTTCCCATAAGAAATAATGTACATCCAATTAATCCATTCCAGATAAAAAAAAAAAAAAAAAAAAAAATATATATATATATATATACAGTGGACCCCCGGTTAACGATATTTTTTCACTCCAGAAGTATGTTCAGGTGCCAGTACTGACCGAATTTGTTCCCATAAGAAATATTGTGAAGTAGATTAGTCCATTTCAGACCCCCAAACATACACGTACAAACGCACTTACATAAATACACTTACATAATTGGTCGCATTCGGAGGTAATCGGTATGCGGGGGTCCACTATAATATATTTTTTTTTTTTTTTTTTTTTCAACAAACCGGCCGTATCCCACCAAGGCAGGGTGGCCCAAAAAGAAAAACGAAAGTTTCTCTTTTTAAATTTAGTAATTTATACGGGAGAAGGGGTTACTAGCCCCTTGCTCCTGGCATTTTAGTCGCCTCTTACAACACGCATGGCTTACGGAGGAAGAATTCTGTTCCACTTCCCCATGGAGATAAGAGGAAATAAACAACAACAAGAACTAGAAAGAAAATAGAAGGAAAACCCAGAGGGATGTGTATATATACATACATATATATGCTTGTACATGTATGTGTAGTGTGACCTAAGTTTAAGTAGAAGTAGCAAGACATACCTGAAATCTTGCATGTTTATGAGACAGAAAAAAAGGACACCAGCAATCCTACCATCATGTAAAACAATTACAGGCTTTCGTTTTACACTCACTTGGCAGGACGGTAGTACCTCCCTGGGCGGTTGCTGTCTACCAACCTACTACTATATATATATATATTATACTATATATTACCTTATATAAAAATATATATTTTATTATATAATATATATATATTATATTATATTTTATATATATATATATATATGTATATAAAATTTATATTATATATATACAAACATCACAACACAACACACACAACACACACAAACACAACACACACACACACACGGAATCTTTATTGAAGAAAAAGTTTCGCCAAACACAGTGGCTTCATCAGTCCAATACAAAGTAGAAATGGGTAAGAGATTGGGAAGTATGAGGTAAATCAGTCCTTTTCAACCCCTGGATTCGATGTGTTCAAGTCCATCACTTGTGTAGTAAGTGCAGGCATAGGGCCGAGAGGTGGTATACAGTGGACCCCGCATAAACGATTACCTCCGAAATGACCCAATTATGTAAGTGTAATTTATGTAAGTGCGTTTGCAGTTTATGTTTGGGGGTTTGAAATGGATAATCAACTTCAAAATTTCTTATGGGAACAAAGTGGTCAGTACTGGCACCTGAACATACTTCTGGAGTGAAAAAATATCGTTAACCGGGGGTCACACTGTTATACTGCGGTGAGATGAGTTGAAGCAGGAGGAGGCGGGATCTTAGTGGGACCTGCCACTAGTTTAAGTAGGTCATCGTCCAAAGGTTGGGCAAGCGTTGAAGTCTTTGTACCAAGATTCCATGATGTTGCAGTGTCTGACAGATGTGATGAATGGTTTTGAAAACCGACAAGTTGAAGAATTGAGACACTTATGCAACACATGGGAATCTTTATTGAAGAAACGTTTCGCCACACAGTGGCTTCATCAGTCCAATACAGTCCAATACTTTGTATTGGACTGATGAAGCCACTGTGTGGCGAAACGTTTCTTCAATAAAGATTCCCATGTGTTGCATAAGTGTCTCAATTCTTCATACACACACACACACACACACAACACACAATTTTATAGAGAATAACATACATACTAAGGCATACAAAAACCAAGGTTCTGCTGTACTGTGGTTTGGACATTCAGAGAGAATGGAGAAAAATGAAAGAACTTGGAAGGCATCTAGGGAGGTAGAGGGGAGGGGCAGGGAAACCAGTTAGTTGGACTTCAGGCCTGGAAGTGGAAAATACAGTGGCTGCACTCTGAAGGAATGGGGATGCTGTGATTTGGAGGGTTTCTGAACTGTGATGATGTTGCTTTTCAGGCTAACAGTGAGAGGATGAGTGACAGTGAAAATGTTTCTTTGTCAGGTGACCCTACTGCAGTGGAAGGCAGCTGGTGTGTTATTAAAAACACATGCCTAATAAAATAACCTACCAGAGGGGATTTTGAGGAAGGGACAAGTGGGAGGGCACTTAAAGAGAGGGTAAATTATAAGATTTAAAATGAAACTGCTCCTTCTGTAACTAATGCAATACAATAATTCTGTCAACAATTGCAAGACACACTTACACCAATTCAATTAATATGTTCCTAAACAAAATAAATTAGCTTCGAATGTTTAAAATAATTAGATCACAATTAGATTCTTCCATCAAAAAAGTTAGCTAAAAGTCTTGAATCCAACAGGACAATTCCCCTTACCTTAATCACATTAAGACACATGTTGATAATATGTCTGAAGGAGGTGCAATAATCTCTGGCACGAGAGTAACATTTCAAGGCATTTGAAAGATCACCACAGTCCAAATAATGATCACCTAAATCATCATGACCTCGCCGAATTGACTCCTTGATACTGTTAACCTGTGAAAAGGAATGACAATACTCTTTTAATACCGAGTTCAAGCAATCTCGAAGAAAAGAGTTCCAAGAATAAATTAAGTAAAAAACAAAGTAAATACATGTACTGTATTTTACATTATATATTAATAATTAAATATTAACAATGGAATATTTAGTTCTCACTTGTTCAACAGTTGTACTCTTAGTCTTACTGGATGAGCACTTATCCTCCAAAACTTATCTACCTCTCTAACAACCTTACTCCATTCCTTACTTGTACATCTTATAGACAGAATTCTTTCCATGCCTTTCTTTCGTGGCTTACAGCCCTAAGCAATCTTGCACAAAAATTTTTGTTAAGTGGTAATCTTTCCATCAAGAGCTCAAGTTGAAGACTAATGTGTGAAGCATTTAAAGGAAAATGATGTACTTAAGATTTATCCAACACACAAGTTCAAACACTACACCCATAAAGGTGTTCATTAAAAATGAAAGCATGCAAGACGTGAAGATGGGCTCACAAAACCAAGAGCAGTGTAAGCAACAAGGCAAAAAAATCAATATAAGCAAGGTCATGCCATAGTGTAGTCTGAAAACACATTAAGAAACCAAGATGGCTGTAGTGTAATTTTATTCTAAAAATGAACAGAAAAAATATTACTTTTTTCACAACACTTTCACAGAAATGTGGAGTTAATCACAAAATTACTTTTTTTTTTTTTTTGACTGTCCTCATATTTGTTTCTAATGCACTGTCTTGCACCACAGAAGGATGACCCAATAAAGAAAACACATTCACTATAATTATTCCACAGCCATCTTTCCAGAAAAGTATAGACATCACAACTCAAATGACCCTCTGAGCCACATTCCCACCCCTCCTCCAAGGCTAAGTCTAGCTAACTGGTTTCCCTCAATCACATCATAAATATTACTCTGGCTCTCACTCCAATAGCACTTCAAGCCATAAAAACCACCCATCTCTACCCTTTCCAATTATGGCACACACATAAGCTTGCTGGATACTCAAGCCCCTAGCACTACTCTCCCTCCAACCTTTCCTGGGATGATCCTTATCCTCTTCCTTCCACTCCCTATTTATAAAGCCTTTTGGTTACCATATCCTGCTCCATCCCCTCTAAATGCCCACACCACCTCAACAACCCCTCCTCAGCCTTCTGAATTACACCTTTGGTAACCCCATACCATCTAATTTCTATACTCCAAATTCACTACATAACATTTACACATTATATGATATACCTGTGACCAGTTTGCTCTCAAACATGATGATAATTTTATATCAATGTACATACTGGTAATATAAGTAACAGGTTATTTGGTTAATAAAAAAAAAAAAAATGTCCCTTGAATTATGTCTGCACACTTCTAGCAAGATAATTATTCAATGAATGATGAATGTGTTCCCATTTTTTGCCACTAAGTCTCCCTACCTTTGCAGGAGATGGCCCATGTAATAAAAATCTGTACTTTAGTTATATCTAGAAAAACTTGTGAAATGGTCTTAACTTATCAAATTTTTAAATTACAGCAAAACCTCTCATTAATGGACCTCTTACGAGATTTCAGCAATTTTGGACAAAATCGGCATGACAAACGGAAGTATCAGACAAAATGGACAAAAAGCTATAACCCAGACTTTGTCCAGGGCAAAAGTATCTAGTTATCTTCTGAAGCATCAGGCAAAGTCTGATGACTCCAAACTTCTTTTTTTTTTTTTTTACCTTACACAGAATAATTTTACAAGCTACGAGTCATCCTACCTCAGCTCGTTTTAAAGCCCAGCCCTATCAAGATATACTACCACTCTGAGATGCAATCCATAACAATCGGCTAACACCCAAATACCTACTGGCTGCTAGGTGAACAGGGGCAGCAGGTGTAAGAAAACATGCCCAGTGTTTCCACCCATGCCGGAGACTGAACCACAGACCCTGAGCTGAGTGCACTACCAACTGAGCCATAAGACCTTGCCCGGTACGGGCCACAGCAGCCACGTTCAGAACCTGTCAGTTTACTCATGCATACACTTACTCAGTTTCTAATTTTCCCTGGCTTTAGAGCATTTTATGACAACTTTATTAAGTAAAGCACAAGTAACAAAGGTTTCTAAAGAAAGTGGTGATGCCAAGCAGAAGTGTGTGCTCTCAATATTAAGCAGAAGATTGAGTCTGATCTGTCAGCAGCACAGGTATGTGAGGAATAGTGTTAAGAAACAGCATTTGATATCCATAGAAGAAAGGACAAACTTACAGGCTATGCTCTTAAGCTTAGCATAGATGCTAGTGGAGCTTCACAACTCCTTTGGCACTGAATAAAAGTTATTTCGAGTCACTGCTATCAATCAGTAATTTACACCTTATCTCTCCACTATGAAAAGGTAAGTAAAATTACTGTAAATTATGTACAGCACTAGAAAATTACTATACAGCACAGTACTGTGGTGTGGTAGCATAGGTTCTGAGTGTCCAGTTGTTTTCTCCATCAGCAGACCAACTATACTAATTCAGAAAACAACCAGATAATCATGAAAAAAAAAATTCATAATTTAGAAGTTTCAGGCAATCGGCAATATTGTACACCCCCTCCCCCCCAATAGTCCAGTAATGAGTATGTCTGCTATAATACAGTAAACTCTCTTCTAAAGCTCCTCCACAGAAAGTATTTTTTTGTAAAAATGTTTGAAAAAGTACATCCAAAATTGAATAGTATGTGGAAAAGCCTTTATAGGATATCCTATTCAATTTTGCATGCACTTTTCAATTTCATCTGCAAAAAAATTGAACTATGTAGAGCATCTTTTATAAGAGCTTACTGTATAAGCAATTACAAATTCCAATTCAATTACATTTCATGTACTGTGCATGTATGTGGTACCAAGAATACAATGAAAAACCCTCAACAATATTTACTAAGAAAGAAAGAAAAAAAAATTAAGATAAAAATAAAATCAGAACAGCAAGTATAGGAGCAAGGTTAATTGCCTAGACTTCACCCATATGTCAATGACAAGAGACAGCTCTAAGCCCTGTCAGAATGAAGCAGAGGGAAAGGGAACCAGCAAATTATGACGGAGATATTTAGCATGTGTTAAGGATTGTGAAAAGTGTTGAATGATTGTAGAAATGTTGAATGACTGTGAAAGCATTGAATGACTGTGAAAGAGTTTCTTTTTTTGGGTCAACCTGCATTGGTGGGAGACGGCCAACATGTTGATAAAAAAAAAAAAATGGTTAGTAAGAGACCAGAGGGAACATTCAGGATTAACTGACAGTTCACCACCAAACTTCTCTAAGAAGATCGTGTTTAGGAAATTAATGGATAGACTGACTTATATCAGATGCAAAACACTATGCCAGGATCAGTAGGTCTCATTTCATTGCTGAGAGACTTTAGAACATTTCCTATAAAAACCACTGTAATGAAAAAAAAAAGAAAAATAAAGATAATTGCACAAATGATTCTCAGCATACCGAAAGCACCACAGAGGCTCAAGAACAGAAGATGGGAGTACCATAGCAAGATACAAAAAGGAAGTTATTATTAGTTCCTAAAAGGACACAGACTGTAAAATACAAATTAATTTGAATATGAATTTATTTAATTTTAATATCTAGGGCCATGTATGGTACTTGGTATGGACTAGATCAACAAATTACTGTTCAGGGGCTTAATAACCTTGAACCTTAAACACCAAATTGATGTCCAGTAAAATTACCTATATTTGCTTTGAAGCCCAGCAAGAGGTTGCTTGGTAATAAAGTGGGAACCACAAAAAAAGGACAACACTTTATAGAAACATAACACTGGTGTTATTGTACTATAGAACTCTGTATTCCATACCAGTGCCAATACTTACCATAAACTATTTTTACAAGACAGAGTAAATACATGTAAAATGACCCAAAAAACATGTTAACTTTCCTGGAAAATATATTAAAGTGAATGAACATCACAGCAAGAGATGATGCTGCTATCAATGGGTAGAAAACATAATATAGTAGTGTATAAAATTATATCAAACAGTAATTACAGTGATACCAGGTGTGATATGTACAATATATGTTACAGTTAGGCGAGTAGAAACATCTTGGGTCTATGCCAGTGCCATGCAAATGGGCACCAACATCCCTTCACATGAATATTTCCCAACAATAAAACAAAGAAATCACAAGTGCCCTATATTTTGGCATATATAAACACAAGCTAACATACTCTGTTCTACAAGTGCTAGGAATATCAATGTGCTGTAATTTCACAGCAAAAAGGCTTAATTTTTATTACATATTTGCTTAAGGAAGCATCACACACCGAAATGCATGTAAATTAACAATCAGCGAAATGTATAATGCTGAATCAAGTTTTAGAATTTATAAAGCACTAGAACTGTTTGGGTATTCAGAAATTTAAACAAAAAGTGGTTAACATTAATATGCTGCCATCAATACTGTACCAATCTCCAGCTGCCTTAATGTGTTATAATCAACACCAATTTGCTGCAATCATGACTAATTTACTGTTATAATATATACAGGTTACAGCAATATAAAATAATTCCATGTCTATTAAGGGAGTCACAGTCCATAATTTGTTCCAAGTTGCACACTCTTAGCCACAATAAATTTTGGGGAGAGAAAAAATTTCCAATAATTCAGTTAAAAAAATGGATGGCTGGGTACTCAATAAGGCACTCCTGGTGTTTAAACCTCACCACAACAGTAACGTAACCTAACATCAGGGATGTGTATAAACTATAGCATAACTAGATGAATAATTGGCTAAATCCTGCAAAAAAAAATATCTAATTAAGAAATATTTTACAAGCAGCTGCTTTATGATATGTGAGTGCTATATGAAATTTTATCAACTTGTATCACTAAGCCTAAGGATCACAAGATCTTCAATTCATAGTAATACTGACACAAAATATAATTATTTAAGAGAGTTTGCAAATTATGTTTGAAAATTTTCACCATATAATAAAAACTACCCAAAGGGGA